ACTTTTATTCATACATTAAGAGTGTGTCCACTTTATGTCACCAACAGAAACATACCCGTCCATATCAGCTCGGGCGATGATCGGTACTGATCCCAATTGGGTCCAGAACATCAGTCCATCGCCCGGGGACACCACAATATCCCGCGCCTTCTCCACGTTGGTGCTCAGCAGGGTGAAATTGAATTTGCCCTCACAATCCGCCACCAAAAGCCGCGTGGAGTCGCTGACGTAAATCCGCCTGGCAATCCAGTCCAGGGCAACACCTCGGGGATCATTTAGATTGCTCAGAACCGTTCTGGCCACGTCAGCATCCCGGTTGCTTCTTCTCTCGTCGCTGATCTGGATCACCATGGCTTGCACGCGCTTGTTTTGGTGGTCCGTCCAGTAAGCCTCTGCCTGCTTCTTGGCGTAGAGAATATCGACAGAGTCAACCTGAAAATCAGTAATCACCGGGTTATTGATTGAACTTCGCCCCCCCGGTTTGAGCATCTAATGTGAAATTTACAGGAAAATGTTCAATGGAAAAGTTGTAGGTATTTAGGTCTAGTTTGTTTTAAGATAACACCAATTGGTACAGGGTGTCTCAAATTGAGGTGGCAGTGTTTTAAATGGAATGCTTGKATGTACCTTGTATCCAGGTGCGATCGCTTGGGTCTTTTTCATTTTATTGACATCGCCAATTTTGTATGGGGAAATCAGCCGCAGTTCCGCTTCCGAAGCCAGCACCAGTTCAGCTAAATCGCCTTCAGCTTGACATTGGCCGTTGCGCATGATCAATCGGTAGCCAGCCACGCATTTGCAATGCGTCTCATTGACTCTGGACTGAAACTGGCATTGAGCAAAAACTGCGCGAACAAACTGCTCAACGAGAAAATCACCTCAACGCAAATTTGTGAACAACTGTTCCACTTGCATGGCGTCGAATCGCAGTCCAGTTCGTCGCTGTTGTCCTCGCAGTCGTTCTTGCCATCACATCGCTGGCCTTTGTCGATGCATCGCTTGTTCTCGCAGGTGAATTGGCCGAAAGGACATCGACCGAACCTGCAAAATTTCCATACTGATTACTCTGGGAAAATCGGATTTTCAAGGCGCCTACAAACTAACGCGCGTCTGCTCTATATATTTTAACAATTGCAAGATTAAACTTGATTTGGGTTAGAAAATGGGTTTTTTAAAGGAGAGTGTTCAGTTTCGTACACT